TTCTCTTTTCTTACCCAATCATCTCCTTCTCTGTTTATTCTTTGCTCTCTCAACAAGCTGCTGCCGGAGATCGTATGAAAGAGAGATGTGCCGCAGGCGCGTGGGCCACATCTCAGTCAGCTCAGCGCTTCGTCTACCTTGGGTTTTTGCAAGTGTCCTGGAACCTGCTCTTGGCGGGTGAAAAAGAAGGCTTCAGGTCACTTGGCTACAGCGCTTCCGCAATTGTTCTCTCTTTTTTGCATCGCTTCAAAGAACGTCAAACGCTGGCCGGAGCCAGCGTGCTGATTCAGTGTGTGTCAGCCGCGCCTGAAACCTTGCTGTGAACGCTGCTGGGTGGGATGTTCAAGTTGTGCTCACGCAGCGGACGGCCCGGCGCGCCGTGCCACGCATCTGAGAGCTTGCCGGGTCACGGCGCGCCAGTTCACAAGGCCCAGCACGCCATTTCACAAGGCCCGGCGTAGGCCCCGGCGCGCCGGTTCACAAGGCCCGGCGCGCCGGTTCAGAAGGCCCAGCGCGCCATTTCACAAGGCCCGGCGTAGGGCCCGGCGCGCCGGTTCACAAGGCCCAGCGCGCCATTTCACAAGGCCCAGCGTAGGGCCCGGCGCGCCGGTTCACAAGGCCCAGCGCGCCATTTCACAAGGCCCCGCGCAGTTGTGTGTGTGCTGGGTGACAAGGTTGAGCGTGCCGGGTCAGAATGCCCGGCGAAGGAGGCAGTGTGCCGGGTGACTCGATTGTCTGCGTTGCAGGTCACAGGGCTTTGAAAAAATAAAATGGCCCCCCCTACGTCGATTGAAAATTAAAATTCCCCCCCCTACGTCCCTTGCACTACGGTAGGGGGGATAGTTTGGTTACTCTTGTTGGCCAACCCAAGCCAGCGAGTTGCCCTTCTGACCTGTTGAGCTTTTGGGGGCCAGGGCCAGGAACCTGTTATGTGGGAAGATGAAGCTCACTGGACATGTCCGCAGGGATTTCTATAGGTTTTGAAAGTCGAAGCGCCAGTTGTGCGGCTATCTTGAACATTATTTCTCTCAAACAAGCAACTCTGGAGTTGCTGAACTTCTTCTTGGGGAGGCCGTCTTAGCTGGAAAGCAACAAGTTTGGATGTTGTTTTTGGCCTATCCACTCGGGAAGTCAGGAGATCGCCCAGTTGTGCCAAACAACAACTTTGGACGTTGGCCAGACGACTCAGGAAGTGAGGAATCCACCCAATATAACGTTAACGTTATAAAGTCTTTGAGAATCGAAATCGGTCGACGGTCGAAGCCGGCTTGCAGAATCCGCCGGGGTCCGGGGGCAAGCTCGCTGCGAGATCTCATCGCTCCTGCGCAAAGACAAAGAAAAGCAAAGACAACATGAGTGCGTCTTGCTTGGTGCACCCCCAAAATTGCTGGTTTTCCTCAGCCCCCCCCCCCCCAATGGCAGGTACCCTCAACAAAAAGACAGACCCAGATACAAAAGCCACATCAGGTGAGGATACCGCTCTCTGATCATCCCCCATCAGATGCTTCTGATGAGATTGCTGCACTTCCCATCTACGTACTCTCCTGATCAAGGAACCCAAAACAGCCGCCGGTGCGTAGGCACGGAATCTCCCCCCCACCCCCCACCACCCCCACCCCCCACCACCCCCACCCCCCAACCCCCCCAACCCCCGCCCCCAACCCAGGACAACTCCCTCGCAGCTTGGAGTCTTTCGGTTCACCAGAAGCTCCAGTTCATTTCAGGCACGCCCAGCCCCGGGCCCCGAGCCAAACAAATTTTGCAGGCTCTGCCACGGCGAGAAGGGGGCGGGAGAATGCGGGAGATGTGAATCCCTACGAGTGTTTTTGTTTGTTTGATCATTTTGATAAATGTTCCTGATGCGCTTGCGCACTTTCATCTTTTGGGCGGATCAATTAAGTGGTATACCAACAGTCTGGTCAAGGAAGTGTGGGGAGACTTCCCAGATGCTTGTTGAGAGAATAGTTGTCACATCCCCAGCCCCTGAAAGGAATTGTGGGAGGGGGATTTTGACCCCTCGACCTCCAATGATGGCCACCCATTGTCCCATTTTTGGGGAAGAAGATGCGGTAAATGGAATTGGGTCGCGGACCCCCTCCTTAAGGTACCCCCAGTCCAGATACCCACTTTGTTTAGGGCATTTTTTTGAAAAGCCTGAGCTTCCATGGTATATACATCCTTTTTTAGTGGAGGGTCGACCTGATACCCTAAAAAAAGCGGTTATTGGGTGTAGGGGGTGGGAACGATGTCGTCACGATCTTTCTCCCCGAGCCGTAGCAGAGCCTCTCGCCCAAGCGGGCGCAGGAAAGGGAGGCCACCAGCACGCCTGGGCTTGGAATTTCCGTTGCGCAGTCCAAATTCGATCTGCTCACTTGCTGCCGGGCGATAGTTGTTTTCCCCTTGTGATGTTTGCTTTGTTCTTCCAGTGCCTTTATTCGGAACCCAGCGTGTTCTCTGAAACTTGTCGGCCCCTGTCCGCCTGTCGGGCTTTTGTGTCAAAAGGCCATGGTCGACATGGGGGGGTGTCTTTTTTTGAGGGGTACCCCTGTTTGTGGTTTCAGAGGGAAGCCAATGAGGGGTCCGATTCCCAAAAAGGACACACCCATTTCCTTGGAGTGAACATCGACCTCTTTCGACTGGCTTTGAAGGGTCGATCCCAAAACTGGCTGATGCAACCTGGTGCAATTTGAGGAACCCAAAAGGGGGACGGCCGCAACCCCAAAGCGAGTTCCGTGTTCATTTTTTGGGCGGTCCCCAGATGTGGTTGAGGTCTTGTTCAAGCAAGCCTTTTGCCCAGAAGCCCGCAAACAGATTTCATGGCGGGGAGGGCGAGTTAGAAGCTTTACTTCCATGAATGAGTTCCCCTGTCGGTTTTTAAGGGAATCTATCACTACTCAAATGTTTTTTTGCTCCAGGGGACTTAAGCAAATGGAGGTTTAGCTGCATTATCCCACCCCAGAAGAAGCTGCCCACTTGTTTGAAACGGGAGCCATAGGGAAGCTTCGGGTTTCTGAGGATTTGGTTAGGAAAGCATAGGCTGTGCCCTTAATGGGAACCCCATATTAATCAACCCTAGTTGATTAATATGGGGGTGTCCCCTTGTTGGTGGGGATTCGTTGCCTTTGGAGGGACCACCCCCCCCCATTAATGGCAAGGGGGTTTAAACCCGGGGACTACATTAGATCAGCACACTACTGGCAACTGCGTAGGACAACTTGCCAGTGACTTAGGTCGGAGGCCCAGGAAAATTGCCAGGGTCCAGCGAAAGACAGTTGTCCACTTCTATGCCGAGGCTACCTGAGAACAAAAAGAACGAGCTCACCATGATGTAGGCCCTTGACTGGGGGATGTCGCAGGTGAAATTTGGGTCCATGGCCCTTTAACTGGAACCCATGTAGTCCCTTTCCTGTGGAATTCTGGTAGAATTTCTTCCCCAGAATTAGTTCCCCTTTTGAAGTTTTTTTTTTTTTGTGTTCCCTTTGTTTTCCAAGCAGGCAACAAAGTTTTTTTTTTTTTTTTTTCTGGGGTCCCTTTTTTCCAGCCAATAAATTTGTTCAAGGGTTCCAAGCAAGTGCCGGCCCTTCCGATCCGATTTGATCCGGCCGCGGTCCTCGAGAAAGTTCTGACCGCGGCCCATCCGATCTGAGAATGCCGGCCATCGGCCATGGCCAGCGGTGCTCATTTCCAAGTGGCCGTGGTTGTCAAAACCGTTTTGGGATCCCATTTTGGTTGGTAGGTACACCACCCATTTTAGTCGGGAAAGTGTCTGAGCTTTATTTGGATGCAAAATAGGCCATGTCTAATTGGCCGAGCTGGAAACCAACAGAATATTATGTTTAGCAAAAACTATTTAGCATCCAGTGACGCCTGTTGCGAAGATCTCACTTCCACGAATAATGTTAAACAACACAAAGCAGAAACAAGCTCGCGAACCGCGGCAAGTGCACGTGCTTTTTCTCTTTTTTTCAACGAATGGGTCATTCGAATCCCAAACAAGAAGGCAGCACGAGCTCAGCAATAGGGGGAGTTGCACCATATGACTATCGATCGGTCCATTTGGGAAGCAGTTTGATCACTGTGGAAGAAGAACACGCTCAGGAACTGAGGACCTGGATGGTTTGGCCCCGGGTCTAAGGCGCCCCCCTTCAAGGGGGGGTTGCCATGACTTTCGTGGGCGACTTCGATTTCGCCCCGCGCCTGGTACCAGATGCGGGGCTTGTGCATGAGACCTGGGCCTCGGTGGCACGAAGTGCCGCGAAGCCCCGCTCGCTTTGTAAGCTTAAGAGGCGGCGCGGTTTTGCGCGCCAAAAAAGAGATGGCGACCAAAAATGGGGGTCCCCAAAAAACACGGCCATCTTGTCAAGTTCCCTCAACTCAGGGAGGCAGCACCCATCAAACACCCAACGTGCAAAGAGCAGAGGAACTGGGTCTGACTCTTGCCTCGCGCGGTTAGACCCTACTTGCACCTTCGCAAGGGCAGCTGACTCCACCGGATTGCCCAAGCTGTAGTGCACGGGGCTGGTGCAACTGAGCCGTTAGAAGTCAAACCTTCAGCTAGCATGTCCTTGCACAACTCCTGGCACCCCTTGGACCACCAGGGACCCTGCAACCCCCCTCCTTTGCCAGGGGTCCTGAGATTAAGCCTCCAGATTGGGGCGGCTTCTTTGGGCCTTTCAGTCTGTGAAGTCTTCACCGAGTTCAATGGAGCCGCGATGAACTTGCCGGGTTGCTCAGACGTTTCAATGGCTACGTTCGAAAAAGCACCCAGATGGGGTTTCAAAGCAATCTGCAACTGAAGCCATCCAGCATTGGCCACTTGATTGCAAACCGCCCGTGTCAAGCTTGCGCCAGACGAATTCCGAGAGAATTATGAAGCCAGAGTCGCGAGAACAAGGGTTGTGGGAAGGGTAGAGCCAGGCTGACTCTCAGCATCCTGGCCAAGAAGAAGAAGAAGAAGAAACATAAGTCAGAGGCGGCAAGCAACTTTTGCAGCCCTGTCTCACGCCGTTCTTTGTTCTGCACCAAAGCTTCGCGCACGCCCCGAAACAAATCGCCATCTCCTTTCGCATGGACTCGCCATGGGCGAGTCCTTGCTGCGAGCCCATGTGCAGGCGTGTTTGGGCAAATCGATTATCCTCGGGGTCTAAACGGTTTGATTCGTTATTGAACCTGCGACAGGTTGTTTTTGGTAGGCTCGGTGGGGGTTGGAAAGGATTTGCTTTCAAGATTGAAAGGGATTTTCATATTCTCTCTGTCGCGGGCCCTTATTCCAGCTGAGCGTTTTTCCAATTTTCCTTGACAGGTTTACAGCTTGTTCCTTTTTTTCTGCCGAACATCACCGGTTGCAACTGGGTTATTTCTATTTCCTTGCTTGTCCGGGTAAGCCCGCAAGAAAGATATCGCTGTAACGCTTTTTTCTGCCGTGGTAACATTGCACCTTGTCATGGTAACAAAATCGCGTTTTTGTCGTGGTTACAACCCCCCCTCGAGTGCCAACCAACCAGCGTGGGTTCCTACGCCCAAACCCCCCCCCCTCCAAAAAGCTCAGCTGTCCAAACAGCCGGCGTTGTGGCTTCCACCCAAGTGCCAAAGTTGCACGACAACCAGTCAGTCTGGCGTTAGATTTCAACCCCTTCTTGTCGAGGCTACATGGGGAAGCCAACCCCCACCATACTCACTGGAGGTGAGTTGATCTTAGGTTGGTATATTTCATTGGGCCTAGGGCAGCACGTTTTTCATATTCTTTCCTGTCTCAATGACGACATCCATCCCATTGGTGGGGGATTGCGTCTTCCACTGGCAATTAGTTTGTTTGTTTCTGGGGGCTAACCTGGGACGGTTTCACCTACCCCTAGCACTTAGAAGATGACTTTGATGGTGGTGAACGAACGGGGCCTGCACCCGCACCCCCCCCCCGCAAACATGCCTGCTTTTTTAACCAGAAATCTTCTTGGTATTGCCAAACCCCCCCAACTGCTTTTTACCATGTCCAACATCTCCTGGGAATAGCCTAAAAACATCCCGCAACTGCTTTTGCCATGTCCAACATCCCCTGAAAAATCGCCTAAAACCACCCCAACCGCTTTTCCCCAGGTCCAAATTCGCCCCCAAAAGGCGGCGGTTGCAACTGGGACCCGGGACACGGGTGCGCGGAAGCCCGGGCTTCCGCGCCAATGCCAGGCGCTCAAGGGCAAGGTGCCGCAGGTGCAACGCATGGAGCTTGAGGCCAAGCCGCTGGAAGCCCGCGGCGGTTCTTAGGGTTGCTCAGTTGCCCAAAGCGAATCGACCTTTTGACCTTTTGGTTTTCCCGTTTTGGTCCATTTTTTAGTGGAGGTGCCAACAGGTTAACCTTCTATTTCTGGGTCCTTTGGGTAAGTGAGGTTGTGTAACGGATCTGTAGGTTTTGTTTGACCTTTTTGGTTCAAACAAAGGTGTATTTTCCACTACACCCCCCCCCCAAAAAAAAAAGAAAAAGAAAGAAAGAAAAAGAAACAGAAACACTTTTTGCAGGGGGGTCAAGAGCAACCAAGCTTCATGGGGCGTTGCCATCAGCCCTGAGGTGGTGGTTGGGATTGGTGGATTGGAGCGTGGTGTCTGTGTTGACGCTCCCCTTTACAGGAATCGAGGGCTTAAAATCCAACGCCAAACCACCAGTCCAAACCACCATCGCCTGAATGATTAGAGGACATTTGAGCCATTCAGCAAGTCGCCTTTACTGACAGTCCTTAAGCGGAGCAGGTGCTGTGGACGTATCCTGTGAACCTTGATGAAACGGGTAGCTCCAAAAAGCGTGTCTTTTACCAGCGAAACACACATCCTCACAACAAGACACATTTCCGCACTTGTGGAAAAACAGCACCTGTGTGGATGTGCTGGGCCTCGTTTTGTTTTCGAATTTTCGAAACGAGATGGAGCTCCCTAAATGGTAGGTTGTCTTGCTTGCTTGGCGCTTTAAGGTGGTATCCGCAGAACTAGGCGTCCCTTGTTCAAAGCCAAAACCATCCTGAAACGTTGGCTTTCCTTCTTCTTGCTGGTGCTTAGAAAACAGCAAGCCAAACTCCTGTATCCTGCAGAAACCCTGCCTCCCGAAGCCGCCGCAGGACAACATCTTGGAGCTGAAGGTCGCTGCTAGTGGGGTCTATCGCCTGAACTTCCTTGTCTACGAGGCGATGCGAGTTCGACTCGGGCGAGGGGCGAAGACTCGGCTAGAGGACTTCACAAAATAGATGGTTTCCTTCTAGAGTCTAAAAAACCATGACCCGAAAAGAATGGGGTCATTCCCCAAAATTCCGGGGTTAGTCTCCATGACCCTTTAAAATGGCGTCATTCCCCAAAATCAAGGGCTTATGACCCCTTTTTCTAGGGGTCATGGAGACTCTAGGCTCGCTAAGGGAACCCTAGCTGGGTGGTTGCCCGGGAGCCGCTCTGGAGCCTGGGGTAGCCATGCCCTGAAAGCAGCCTTTCGGAGCTACCAGTGTAAGTACATCGCCTCCAGGGGGAACCAGGGTTGTTGTTGGGACACATTTCTTACATTTTTGCTTGTTGCGGTTTAGTGCCTGAAATCCAACCACTTAACTGCTAAAATTTAGAGATTTTTGCTCCCCTTTCAAAGGCCAACCTGTTGCTCCCCAAACCCAACGTCAACCAAGGAACCGCACGTGATGGGTACGATTTTCCGGATGACTCCGAAGCTTACGAGTTCGAGCGACCTCTTGAAAATGTCCGACACCAGATGCTCAGATCAGGGTGGGCAGTGCTCTTCTGTCCATGTGTTACCCTTGCCTGCCTCGGGGGTTCACAACATTCCTGTTGGGCCCGGGACTTGTACTCCCTTGCGTGTAGGTTGGGAGTGTCCCAGGTTAGAGGCAACCCTGGTCTGTCAATCCGCCAGTTTGGCCCAACATGAGAGAAACCGCAAGCCCCCAAGCCTAAGGAAACGCGGGGTATGCAGCCTCAGCTCAACAACCGGTGTACATAAATAGAGAAATATCTAATAGTTATATCTATGTATATATATATATAGTTGTATGGGTGTTTCTCGAAATAGGGCGCCCGGGAGGTGGATGCATATCCCGACAGCGGTGGGGTGATGATGAGCGAGGACAGCCAGTGAGTCGCTTCTTGCAACGGATTTCGCACCCCCTTTGGGGCGTTCCCTTTTGGTTCCCCTTGAAACCGCGAAAAAGGCAGGGTGCCCCTCCGAGAAAGACACTCTTCTGGTTGGAAGCTCATGGGGCCAAGAGGAAACCCATAGGGGACGATCATGAGAAACACGTGCGTCACGTCACAATCCATTGCCAGACTTTTGTGCTTGTTTCAGCTATAGGGTCAGCAGGCCCTGATAGGCTGCTTCTGGGTGGCTGGGAGCAGGGAGTGTGCCGGCAAGTTCCCGGACGTTCCGGGGCTGTTGGGGATACCCTGAGGTGGTTCGAGGATTTGAACCTCTGGTTGCAAAGGAGAAAGGGGCTTCCCCTCGGGAACACCTCCAAATCGGGTCCCGACCACCTTTCTCGAGTAATATGGGTGTGGGTCAAAATTAAGCCACCAGGAATTGGACCGCAGGTTTTAGTCATGGGTTCCATTTACGAGGGTTCCATTTTGGGTGCCCATTTTTGACCCAAAGCCATATTTCCTCTTTTCATTGAACTGCAGGAGCCCAAGACCATCGGGGTAAAAGTCACCATAGAAGGGCACCGGAGCACGCTTAGCACCAATGAAATGTGTGGCAAACAAATCCTGACACCAACAAAATACGTATGACATGTCTATGGGCATTGGCTCAGAAAAGACAACACCGAGATGCTGCTTTAGGAGTGACGATGTTTTTAGGGTTCAGCCCCCATCAACAGAATGGCAGTGACCAAGAATAGCAGTGACCGACCCAATTTGGAGGAGGCAGCTCCTTGGGTAACAGTAATGAGGTCACCTTTTGTTGGTTTGAACCCCATGAAAGCTGGGGAGCCCAAAGAAGCCTGGATACGGCCTTATGGAGGGTTTAAGAAGGCTTATGTGGGCTCCCCCCATCCTCCCCTTCACCGGGATCTGGAGCTTGCCAATCACAAGCTCGCGAGGACGAAGCCGCCACCGAGCTGGTGGACGCGCCTGGGTGAAGTTTGTGGCACATCGCCCAAAACCATGCTCAGTTGCTGGAAGCGAATGGTCTTGACATGGCCTTTTGGTTTTCCCATGTCCAGTTTTAATAAAGGAACCAACCAAAAGGTTGGCCTTTGATTTCCGGCTTCTTTGGGTGAGTGAGCATGACCTTGGCAGAGCAAAGGCCTAGCTTGTTTGCTGTTTGCAGTTTTGGTCCCTCGTTGCCCCTTTCGAACTTGCCTTTGGATCAAGGTTGAACGTTAACCAGGTTATGGCATCAATTTGCTGGCTTCTCGGGGTGAGCGCCTGAGCAGGAACTGGAAGTTCACTTAAAACAGCCAGGTTTACAACAAATGGTTCCAACGAGCAAGTAGGATGTTTGCAAGCACCAGTTTACTTTTGAAGCCATGAGTTTAGGACCAGCCCGCAGTACTGGCCTTCTGGAAGGGCATCTTCCAAAACCCTTCTGTCAGGTTTGGAATGTGGATGCTTCAGGAATCCAAATTGGCCGGGGAAGCAAGGTTTGTGCAAATGGGTTTGTCTCAAACATGGGGGCCCACCAAATTCTTGGCTTCCCTATGAAAACTGTTTTTGGGGGCATGTAGTTTTATCGCAACATGTTTCAACGCCACGGCCAACGCGCCGTTTGGCTCAAGCTTTTGATTCCGGCAGAACAATCTGCTAGCACGTCACCCGCGCCATTCTGGCGCCGCTATTGGTCTCGCAGCAAAAGGCGCTGCGGGCCCGACCAGCGGCGAGGTGGCCAAGGTGGTGTTAGGTCGGGTTTGTTTCTGGGAATTTGCTGTGTTGCTGCTGCTCCGCTTTCGCTTGGTTAATTGCTTTGCTCGCTCGCTTGCTGCGCTCGCCTGGTTGGCTGCGCTGGTCCCCTTTCCTGTTTGGGTTTTGCGGTTAAACAGGATTCCCCGTTTGTTATCTGAGTGGTTCATTGCCAGCCGAGGGCACCACTTTGCCCTTGGGACTGGGGGGCTTAAACTGTCTCTTCTTGTTGGTGGGTTAGGGCCTGTTTATTCTCTCCCGAAATATTGTTTCAAACCCTTTCGCAGGTTATCAGCCGTAGGATTCGTCCTCGGTTGGCACCGCGAACCTTTTTTTTAACAACCCTGCAGGCGCTGTAGGTTACTGTATATACGATGGCAGGAATCACTGAGGATGGACCTCATGTGGTGACTGATGAATGGGTTCTCGGCCAGGCCGGAATCTTGGACGTTGTGAATGACGACCAGGTGCCCGGACAGCCGATGTTTTCCGGTCCTGACCTTTTGTCGGACCATACTTTTTCAGAAGCAATGCCTTCAGGAAGGTCCAGTGCTACTCGCACTGATGACCTATCGTCTAATGCCTCAAGAGCTAATCGCTCTCAGGGTCATGGGGCTAATCGTCCTGACCATGATGATTCCGTCTCAGGACGTGATGATGACGAGCCCGGTATTGCACCTGGAGCTCAATCCTCATCTTTCCCGGAGCTGATGAATATTGGTCAGTCCGAGTTTCGTGACTCTCGAGGTAGCAGTAGACCTGTGCCAACCAGTAGTATAGTTTTTCAAGCGCTCGGTAATCCCGAACCTGGTACATCCAGTGGAGTTGCATTCGATGTTCATCTGCCGACCGAATCCGGTGGGCTCGATTGGAGAGCCTCATGGCCCAACGACGGAAATATTTTTGGTATGGATTTTGCCGCATGGATGCCAGGGCCACCCGCCCCGTCATCTTTCCCGCAATTCCAAAGCCCAAAACGGGCTGCTGGAAGCGATGAATTCATGCTACCTTTGTCGATTGAGAATCTCAATCCTGACGTGGCCAGTCGTAACGTCAGGCCAAGGCCGTCGGTGAACCCGACCATGAGGAACATGTCCCCTCCCCCAGGACTTTCAGGATTTGAGAGCCCTAGGGAGCGTAATATCGTAGATAGATTGGATTTGCATCCCAGTCCAACCCCAAGCAAACGATCAAGGTCAAATTCGACTGGATCGCATAGGGCAAGGGGGATGGATCGGGAAACTGCCCACAGGGGTAACCCCAGTGCGCGGGACTCAGGACGCGGTCGATCAGGTGATCCAGCGTCGATCATTGGTAGAGACCCGTTAAACGCGGACACACTCGTTAACGTGCTTGATGGGATCGAAGCATTCCAGGAGGAATTTAATAGGTCAAGTGGCTTGAATGCCCAAGGTGTTCGCCCTACGCCCAACGCGGCTTCCATTTTCGCTCTGGACGACATGGACGGAACTAATGTTCCGATAGAATCTGAGTCCATGATGGCATCAAGTTCCAGTCGCAATCATACTATCAGTAATGCGACTGATATTGAGTCGATGTCTGAATCTAGAGTGTCCAATGCGACCGACTTGAATGACATTGTTGTTGCTGACTCGAGACCTGATGTTCCTATGCGGATGGATAGGCCTGTTGTTCCTAAACTGCCCGTGGCCAAAGGCCTGGGCATGACACAACACTCTGCGGTTCGTGATGCTAGGAGATCTGCTCCGTATCAGAGTCAATCTCCTAATCGGAGTGAGTTTCCACGGCCATCAACGGCCGTGCAGGATGATTTCAGAACTCCTCCGAGATCTAATCCAATCATGGTTGATTTGTCCACTCCTCGAGATCGCGGATCAGGATTTGGTCCTACGAGTGAGGAGCAACCCAACGAGGTTGCTGATCTTGTAACAGCCCTTGAAAGAGGGAGAGTGGACTCTTCGGTAAGTGCGATTATTCATCGCCTGGTTGCTAAGGTCGAAGACCTTGGTCGTAGGAATGATAGAAGTGATCAATGCATCAAGCAGCTCTCCACTGAGGTTAACTCGTGGAGGGCCAAATACGACCAATGCGTCCATATGAGTGGCACGTGTACGCAGGCTGCGAACGCGGCCATGCAGCTATCACAAGGGACTAAGGACATCGTGACCGAGCTTGGCCAACGCGTCAAGATCGTTGCCGATCGCATGATAAGCATAGGCGATGCCCTAAACGAGCGAGCCAGCTACGATGATGTTGCTCGCTCCATCACCCAGGTTCAAACTGTTTTTGAATCTCTCTCTGATCGAGTAACCGGGCTTATAGCTCGTGTTGATATGATCGAGAGATCTCTAGTGGAGAGCCAATCCAACCATCCTGCAATTGGTGGGGTAAACCTCAAAATCGAGGACCTGTCCACTAGGGTATGTCAGATTGATAGGATGATGCAAGATGTCGAACAACGCTGGACCAATAATAGGGACGGCATAAAGTGGGTTAAAGACCAACTTTATGAGACACAAGCCAACCTTGAGATGAAGTCAAGGGACTGCAAGTCCTACACGGACAAGCAAAATACTCATAACATGGCCGTTTCGACTACGCTCAACAGTAAGCTCGAGCAAATGCTCGAGGTGCTGGGTAATACGGCCCAGAGAATCAGCTCCATCGAGTCAAGGCACTCGAACCAGGCCTCAAGTAGTGGATTGAACGATCACACAGGAGGAAGGCGAGCCGCGTCCCGTACTCCGGATAAGCGGCCACCTCCACCTGGCCCTCCTGATGGTGATCCTCCACCACCTCCTCCTCCAGATTGGCAAAACCCAGGAGGAGGGGGGAAGAAGAGCGCTGCCGGTGGGAACCCTGGCAACCCTGGTAAACCCAGATGTAAATATGTAAGTGATGGGTATAATCATCTCGTGGCTGAGTTTCACTGCAAGGGATGCAGAGGTGATATTTGTGAGTATTGTTTCTCATTTAAAGAGAACCTGTGTGAAGAATGTTCCCGTAACGGACCCCGATGCGGAGTCTGTAGGGAGAGCTCGTTCCTGACCAAGGGAATTGAGTGTCAATTTTGTAAGACCTACTACTGCACCAGACATTCTGCTGGGCAGGATGACTACAGGAGATTTGGATTTGTCCAGGGTCCCTGTTGCCTTGCGTGCCTTAGGGACGAGACTAGGAGAAGAAGGGATCCCGATGGTAACCGTGTCAGGAATAGGTCGCCTGGAGGCGTACCTGAGACGAACCCGACGCGGTCGTTCTCGCCGCCTCTGCGGCCATCCGTTGACAGATTCCGTGATACCCCAAATGGAGGTCAACCCAACGCGGCTAACCTTCCGAGTCCTCCGAAGGCTACGCAATCCGTGCCCCTGGATAAACGTGAAACCGGATATTATCCAGGATTTGATCCCAACGGTACAAGGCCGAAGGATCCTTCGGGCCTTGAGCCGCCGACCATGCGTGGCCCCGATCCTCCTGACAAGAAATGTCGGATGTGTGATCGGGATATTCCTGACCCCAGCAAAATTGAGGAATGTAAAATATGCATGAAAAGGGCATGTGAGATTTGCATTCCGAAGGCCACACGCCTTTGTCCTGTATGTGCATTGTCAATCGGTAGTTCTCAGGTTCCACAGCATCTTTTCGGAACTGGTGGCGGCGGGTACGGTAGCCACCATGATCCGAACTGTACAGCTGCGACTAAGTGCATTTCCATAGACCTCCCGCCAGAGCCCGACGCGGCTGGGCTGAGGGTATGGATAGCCAATATGAAGGAAGCCGTTAGCAATGCCTACAGCTATGATGGACTTTACGTCATCAATTGGCTGACTGAAGTCGAGAAGGCAAAGACCTTTGATGAACTGGATGGGGAATGTAAGTACCACATCCTCGAAGCCAGGTTCAATGCAGCCATTCGGAAGTGCATCAAGACTGTTGCGATCATCGATAAGATTAATCGTCTCACCGAAGCCGCTCAACGCTCCAACAATCGCATCAAGAGTAGGCAGATCCTGTGGCTCTTATACGACCACTTAAGGACTGCGAATATCGGAGAGCAATCGTTTAGGATAATTGAGCTCTCAAACTTACGATGCAGTACATCATCTTTCTATACTGAAGAGGAGCGACTTGAAAGGTTCATCGCGAAGTGGGATCACATCATTGCGGGTCTCGATGAACCGCTGACCGAACAGGTAAAGCGGTCGCTATTCAGTGAGAAGGTTAGACACCTCAACTGTTTGGCCCA